GGCCGCCCTGGGCAGCTGGGGCCGGGGGTCCGGTTTGGGGCGGTGGGGAGATAAGGGAATCGAGGGGTGCTGTCCGGATCTCCTGGAGGGAGCCTCTCCGTGCCCTGAGGGGCCTGTTCTTTAACGGGCTCGGCCCTGCGTCCTGCTTGTCGTTGGCAGCTTGAACTGCTTGGATTGGAGCCTCCTGACACCGGCGACCAAGGAGATGGTTGCGCAGGCCGAGCAGCTGAAGGGCCGCTTTCAGGGTGATCCTTCTTTTGAGTACAACTTCGCTGAGATAAACCCACAAGCTGCTGAGACATTGTTTGAAGGTGGTAAGGAGGTAAATACAGCAAAACACTTTCGAACTCTCTTGTCTACAGTCGTGCCACTCACACTGGACAGGTGGTGGCTCCTCCTCCTTGTTGTAATTAGCAAACCGAGCTTGTAGTCAGGCAGAAGATACACAATTTCCTCTTCTTTGTCATTGTGTAGCAACAACTTCTTGATTGACCTTCAGTTATTTCCGGAGTTATACGGGGCTCAGAAAGAGCATGTATTTCTTATGCTTTATTATGCACAATTGGTAGAGATTCTCCCTTCAGTTTCTGAAGCAGGTAACTGCAGGCACCATTCTTTATAAATGAATAGAGAAGTCGTAAGTTGCTTAATTGAGAGGCAGGAAAGAATGGATCAAGAGCGGGATAGTTATCTCTCTGGTGAATCTAAACTTTCTGCCCCAGTCAAATTTTCTGTCATATCTTCTGAGAAAAAACATGTGATTTGTGGTTCTCCTCTTAGTGCCATTGGGCTTCAAGTTGATGAGTCCATTGTGGTTTCTACTGTCACCTCCAGTTTATTTTCAGAAACGAAAACAAGGAAATTCCTGCCTTTAAAATGTCCCTATTTTTCGTTAAAGCCCGTGATCAAGGAGGAGGCCCGCCTCATAGCTACGATAGAACAGATAGACAGAGCAGTTGGTATCGTCCCCCGGGGGGCATTCGTGAAGACTCCTCTTGGGTCTGTGCATGAAAACAGACACTTTGAAGGTAAATTCTCATTGTCTTTATCAGTATCAACTGTACTTTGATCACGAAGGCTGTAAATTAGGACGACTTTCTCTAGTTGATGTTTTGATTTCAGTTTTTTTTTCCTTGGGTAAGATGAACAGGGAGGAGAGAATCCAGTGCCACTTATGTTCAGGTGCATGATTCAACTATGGATGGGGAGAGAAGAATCAGTAATGGCTCTGAGTCTTTAAACCTGTAGTTTCATACGTCTTTATAAACTGTAGTTTATGTCAGCATTTAGCAATTTGGTGTCCATTGCTTATCTGGAGTACAGTCAGTATGGTCTGCAATGCACAACATCAGGGAGTGCTGACATCTCTTTCTGAGAAGACTGTAGTCTTCTGCAGAGTCTACCAGAGAAAGATTATGATTCTGCCCTATGCTGTGGGAATTAGAGAAACAATGTTATACTTGACGGTATAATGAATGTTACCCTAGTTCACTGTATTAATGGTCACCAATGGCTCTTTGCAGGTCTGTCTTTGGTGGAGGCAAAAAAGTTAAGTTCCTATTTCCATTTCACTGAGCCTGTTAACCTGAAGAACAAAACCCTACTGGAAAAGGCTAACCTGGACCCATCCACTGACTTTCTGGATTCTCTGGAGCATGATATCCCACCAGGTAAAGGGAGGAAAACCAACAGATGCAGTAAAAGGGAAGGCGGTTTGAGTAGTCTAGGAAACACTGAGGTTACTAGTTTGGATTACTGTAGAGGTCGTATGCTTCGGAGAAGCTTCTGTAAATCTGTAAAAAAACTTTATCCTTTACTAAATATTGTAGTTAAGTCCCATTTTAAGCAATTCTAATTGCTTACAATAGTAAGATGTAAGTGTACTAGGGCTGTCACATCCTCTCAACAGGTCTGACCGTCATCATGGCTAGGCTTTGGGAACAGGTCTGACCACACCAGCAGTTAACCCCTCTGCCTGTGTCATATTCTCTCCTGACTTCTGTAAAGCCTGTGGCAAACTGGTATCCCTATGGGGAGAAATAACTCCACCTGTGATAGTGGGGAATTTATGTGGTTTGAAGTATTTCACACCTCCTGTCCCACCCAGCACTGCTCTTCTTTATCTTAATGGGCTCTCATTAACACCAGTGTGGTATCTCTGAGAGGCTGCATTCAAAAGTTCATTTGATAAACTATGTTAGAAATGCTGGAGTGTGGAATAGTCTGTACTCTGGTGGGATTTAAACTGTGGAAGGAGAAAAAAAGAAAGCATACTGGAATGTATTTTCAGTTCACGACTCTACTGTTCTGCTGGACAACCATGAAATATATTTAAAGCCTCTTTCAGGGATTCCTCTGGCAGGATATTTCTCTGAAGAGATGGGAATGACTTGTTATTTGTTTCTAATCGCTTTTTGCTGATGTGCCACACTTCTTTTTTTGATTGGACCAAGTGCTTGTACATCCTGCTGTCTAGGAAGATTCTATGGACACAATCAGAACTTTAGGTTTGCTATTTTATTCCTACCCTGGAGTAGTAGAATAGGATAGCAGATGACCTGTGCCAGATGGAACTGAGTGGAGGGACAGTGAATTGCCAGTACTGTAAATAGGTTTTCAGGCACTCTCTCTCCTCCTCTCTCTCTCTTCCCCACTTCCCCCCCAGCTTGTAATCTTCCCTTTGGCAAAAAAAGAATTGAGAATAAACCTAGTGAGCTTCTGCCTGAATTCTGAACATTTTTGACTGTGAGCATAAATTGCTAAAATCTAAACCACTATTCAACTTACTGGGAGTGTCCTTGATGCAATCATTTTCCAGAGGTGTAGTCTGGAGAGACTGCACATTTTTACATACGCTGGCTCATTGAGGTGACCTTTTTGACTCAAAAGAGTATTGCGAGGGGGGGATTAGTTCCTAGATATCTCCAAAGAAAATTTTAGCTGCTGTTTTGTACAGTAGTTCAGGTATTGCTCTTGTTTGCCTCCTCCCTGCTCCCTCTTTTATTTTCTCCCTCTCTTGTCATAGGGAGACATGCTGTGTGTTAGGTGCGAAAATGGCAGTTTCATTGAAGTCTTCAAATCAAATTTGCCTTGTAGCTTTATTTTACCCAGTGGCAGATAGAAAGTGGGGCTCAACTGTGCTGTTGTTGCATTTGTCTTCCTGTGGCAACGCGAGGTCTGTGTAAGCATGAACCTTCGCCCCCTTCCCAGGAGGGTGTTGCTGTTAGCACAAATCTCTCAGTCTCCCCCAAAAAAGTTACCTCTCAGAGACTACCTGAGCTCAAGTGCAGCTGAGTGCTTCTTAATGGAAAAGATTCATCATGGTGCCAGTGCAGCTCTGGTTGTTCTGTCCTGCTCTTTTTTGGACTGAACCTGGGAATTGATGGAATGAGCTTGTCAGGTGAAGGAAATGAGACAGGAAGTTGTTACAGCAAGGCATGTAGCCTCTCTAATTGCACTCTGTCACATGCAGATAGGAGCTCTGACACTAAAGAAAGATCAACTCACCCTCCTTTAACAAGCATTCAGGTTGCCTAAAAGTACTGGTTGCTTGTGAAAATGTGTGTGTGTGGGGAAAGAACAGTGGGCAGACACAGGCTTTCTGCTGATTTTATCAGCATGGCTCTGTCAAAGTCACTCACTCCTGGTTGTGAGGCACTCAGATTCTGGTTCTTGGATTACTTTCCTTCATCTGTGACAGTGCATGTTGGTTCTGACAGAGCAGAAAAAGCAGACAGTGCTTTTTCTATTTCATGATGTATTGTTCATAGCTCTGGCAAATCTCATTTTGACCTGAAGTTTTTCTTGCCTTTCCTGGTTAGATCCTCTCTTGAGCGGTTACTGTCAGAGCAGAAGTAGGAATTGTCAAATAGCATCTAGAATTGTGATTGAAGCCAGAATTGTTTCTGTCCTCAACAAATACACAAGAAGTGGACTGCGGATACGCAACATGGGAGTGATGCTCCCAGCTTCTAATAGCTAGAATTCCCCATGCATCCTAAAAGACCTAAAGAACAGGACTGAGAGATTAAGGGCTGATTTTAACCTGTCTAAAAGTAACAACTCTGTTGAATAGTTTTCTCTATTAATTGGAGACTTAGCATCTGTGATGGCTGTCAAGGGGGTAGCTGTCATAAAATGTATGGTGTGTCATTATAGGAGAGCAGAGGTGTCTTACAGAATGGAAAGTTGGAGGCAGAAAGAACGTTTTATATGACAGCTGAGAGGTGGGAAGAAAGGAAGTTAAAAGTGGATTGAATAAAGGTAACAATGGTAAAAGCAGAGTTTAGTGCAAAATTGGAAAATCTGGAGTTTTGTAACAAAACTGTCTGCCATCCTTATCTTTGCCAGTGATATCTGTGGTGTTTGCAGGTTCCAAATTTCATCTGTGTGTCTATCTATGAGGTTATCTGTGCATTTTTAAGAGTTCAGAACATATTGATGCTCCTCCTTTAATCATTCTGTGGGTCTGTCTGTTTATTCTTGATGTCTCAGCTTCCACAGACAAGTGACTATGTGACTGAGCTTTTATTAAAAAAATACATTTTTAAAAATGATTGCAGAGAAAAGTGTCTTGCCTCAAAAGCATGAACATGGAGAGGTTGCAATGCTGATCTTCTGACACTGCAGTATTAGATCATGTAAAGCTTCATTCTGATCCAAGTGGCCAGCTGGCCAGAACGTTGCATGCTGGGATCTGTAGGTTTTGCTGGCCATATGTCTGCATTAAAGATAAGCTTGTTTGCTCTGGTCTAAGCAGACAATCTGCTCAACTTTATGCACAATTAGATGTGGCCTTTCAGCTGCTGGCACACTGCCAGCGTGGTCCTTTCTGCTGCATGCAGTTTGGAACCCTAAACTTACTATTTCAGGAACTAGGGTTTGTGGCAGTTTTACATATGCTTATAGATAATGGAATGGCAAAGCAAATAGCAATAATTTCTAGCATGCCTACAGCATTTTCACTTGATGATCTAATGTTGTAGAGATATGAAATAATAGTCACTTGTCAGGCATTGACATGATGGGGAAAGTAAAAATAGAGGGTGAAGGTTGATTTTACTGTGACAGTGGTATCAGATCAGACTGTGCTCCACTCTGCAAGGGTAAAGAAAGGGGGTGAGAGAAAGCCTAAGGTACTAGTGTAGAGCGGAAAGCTTGGGAGGATGTGAGACAGGGGTGGAGAATGCAGTTCTTTGGCGTTTTCAAACTACAGTTCAGGAAAGCACTAACTTGACTCTGGGGGTTTGTTACAGATTACTGACTCAGATCACTTTGATATGGAGAGAAGGGACACCGACAGGACACTGTTAAAAACTGACAAACTGACGTGGGTGGGGAGGTATGTCTAGATAGGAAAAGATATGAGTAGAATTAGGTTTTATATGAGAAGACTTTCTTCAAAAGTCATGGCTCCCAGTCAATAAATAGCTGCTTTTGGCTGAAAGCCTACCACAGTTCACTTGTGGAATAGGAGCAGAAATTAGAATTTAAAAAGACACATAAAAGGAAATGCAGAAAGTTTGGAACAATTAATGGCTTATATAAATTGGAATTTATAATGAGTAGAAAATGACAAAGGGAGCCAGAATAACCTGGAGTAGTCCATGACAACGGTAAGGCAGATTTATTTCAACTATATTGAGAAGAAAAGAAAGCATAGTAATGCTACTGGAAACTGTCACTAAATGGTGATGGTAAAAAGGCTGGTAAGAATGTGCAAGGGCAGCAGTGCTCAATATTTTTTTCTGGTTTGTTTTTGGAAAGAATATGGACTCACATTAAACAAAGACAATAAAATACTCTTTCAGACAGCTTTCAGACTGTTTGCTAAGAGAGGGAAGAGTTAAACAACCTTGTCTGTGAGTCAAAAGAATTCAAATGGCAGTCAAATAAGTTACTTCTGAAATCATTATCTCAGGAGACTTGGGGCATACTAACCTTTAATAAATCCCAGCATTGCAGAATTTTCCCCCTAAACTTAATCTTCATTAGTGGTTGAGATTCAGAAATTGCCAAATCGATGTATTTCTGGAAGGGGTCAGAAGGGGCTTCAGCTGGGACCAGTGCTAGTATTGATATTCTTCAACTTACTTACAAATGATCTAGAAGTAAAGCATTGGTGGAGAGACAAATAATGACAAGGGCAGGATAGATACAGAGATCTGGAAAACTCGGCTTACTTAAATACAGTACATTTTGATGTAGCTACCTGCAAAGTCACGTATCTACAAGTAAGGACTAGAAGCCAGACTTTTAGATTTGTATTCTGGAAGCTGTAGCTCTGAAAAGAAATCCAGGCACAACCCACTGAACATCAGGTCCCAGTCTGATCCTGAAACATAAATGGCTAATTTGATCTGCAGATACATAAACAAGGGCGTAGCAAATAGGAACAGGGAGGTGACTGTATTTTTGCATATACTGTTAGTGGAATCAGGATTGGATTACTACACATTGCAAAATCGGAGAGTTGCAGAAAAGAGACATAAAATGATTCAAGGGCTGGTGAGAGACATAAACAGTTCAATCTGTTTATCTTGTGGAAAAGACCATGAGAATGGCTGTATTGCACTGTGTAAATACTCTGTGGAGTTTAAGCATTAGGTACTGAAGATCTATTTATTATAGCAGAGAAAGGCATAACAGGAATCAGCAGCTAAATATTATA